GCAGGAATGTGCTGCTCAGAAGCTGGTCCCACATGGCAATTGCAGTTCAAGTCCCCTCCCTAGGTGGGCTGAGCCTATGGAGGAGTGCCTGAGGTCTGACCGGCTGGAGGACTGAAGGAATGGGATTATGGCATGACCCTGTGAAGGGTGCTCATTTCTCTTTCTCTCTATTTCTTATTTTTTTCTTAATTTAGCAGAGTGTTTGCGCTCACCAGAGAGACAGAGAAAGTAAGAAAGTATCATCCCATGGGACATGGTCATTTTGCAATCCCTTCTGCTCCATCTCTCCCTCTCTATAGGCCTTTTTCCTCCATTCTACAGGAGTTTGGGCTCGCACGCACATGTGCTTAATTTGCGTTTCAAGCCGCTGGGGCTGCAACTTGAACCACTGTAGGTCATGCGGGATCCAGCTTCCCATGCACAGCAATTAACCACGGTGCTACAGTGCCAGCTCCTTCACTCTTTTTTATTATTTTTTTCAATTGCTAGAGGACACGTGTGCTCCCCAGAGAGACCAGTGTGGTTGGGGAAGGGGGGAGGGAGAGGTTTAGTGGAGACTTCTAGTGGTCTTTTCCTGGAGGATGGAGCTTAGGATGTGACCCTAACTGTAGCTTTTGCAGGCCCTTACATAGCTCCTTTGGAGAATGTGAACTAACCCCAAATCATTAAGGATTAATTTATGCCATTGGTATGGTTATGTATTCTGTCCTGAATGGTCAGCTTCTCCTGATTTTTCATCCAGACCAACAGCTAAAGAGTTGAGCTGTGTTTGATGTCCACAGAGGATAGCTCCACGCCGCATTCCTCTGGCCTCCGTCACTAAGTTTGACTTAGGTGCATGTGGTTGCTATAACTCCAATAAGTTGAGAGGTGATCACACTGACTGGAGGTCTTCTGCTGAACTTGCTGTCTGTGCTGCAGGCCTGTATTTCTAAGTGTATATTAGACCTCTTTGGCATCAGTTTAGTTAGATCATGTTGATGTAGTCTGGGAATTTAATATTTAAGTGAATGAGTTGGTTGACTTCAGAAGCAGGCATATTCATGTTGTGAGCCTAATAGCGTGGACAGTATTAGAAATGAAACTTACAGAAAATAAATGCATCAGGTAACCTTTTGTAAATGTAACGTTTTTCATTCTGAAAGAGAAATTACTTTTTGATATTTTTCCTATTGTAAAAGCAAGAGTAAGCCATGTCGCTGGTTACTTGGCCATCAAATACATTAGTATTTTATTCTTGCAAGCAAAGATAATATTCATTCTGTAGGTTTGTGGTTCAAGTGAATGACATATACAAATACAGATTTTTGTTTTGGAGAAGTTTTTGCTACAGGGCGCGTGCGCTCGCCAGACAGAGAGAGAGAGACATAGAGACAGAAAGCGAGAAATCACCCCCCAGAGGGGTGATTCACGCCGCAATCCCTTCTCCTCCATTCTCCTCTCGGGATCTTGGGCACGCACGCACACGCGCCCGGCGTGAGTTTTAAGCCACCGGGTCTGGTATGCGAACCGCGGTCGACTACATGGGAATCCAGTGACATACCCATTACGCTAACTGCTGGTTCCCTACAAATACGGATTTTTAAAAGTAAAATGAGTGTGACTTTATTGAATATAATCTTTGGCGTAGATAGTGTTTGTATAGTATTGACCTGTGCTAAATGTGGTTGTCATGTTTCCTCTGCAGAGACATTACCATCCTGTCGTGCAGAGATTTGCAGCTCACCTGATGGCTGGCGCACCCTCTGAAGGCTCAGAAGCACTCAAACCAGAGCTAAGCCGAAGGTAGCATTTAGTATCGCCTTATTCTAAAAGTACAAAACTTAGGGTTGACTCCATGGCACAGCCAGGAATGTGCTGCTCAGAAGCTGGTCCCACATGGCAATTGCAGTTCAAGTCCCCTCCCTAGGTGGGCTGAGCCTATGGAGGAGTGCCTGAGGTCTGACCGGCTGGAGGACTGAAGGAATGGGATTATGGCATGACCCTGTGAAGGGTGCTCATTTCTCTTTCTCTCTATTTCTTATTTTTTTCTTAATTTAGCAGAGTGTTTGCGCTCACCAGAGAGACAGAGAAAGTAAGAAAGTATCATCCCATGGGACATGGTCATTTTGCAATCCCTTCTGCTCCATCTCTCCCTCTCTATAGGCCTTTTTCCTCCATTCTACAGGAGTTTGGGCTCGCACGCACATGTGCTTAATTTGCGTTTCAAGCCGCTGGGGCTGCAACTTGAACCACTGTAGGTCATGCGGGATCCAGCTTCCCATGCACAGCAATTAACCACGGTGCTACAGTGCCAGCTCCTTCACTCTTTTTTATTATTTTTTTCAATTGCTAGAGGACACGTGTGCTCCCCAGAGAGACCAGTGTGGTTGGGGAAGGGGGGAGGGAGAGGTTTAGTGGAGACTTCTAGTGGTCTTTTCCTGGAGGATGGAGCTTAGGATGTGACCCTAACTGTAGCTTTTGCAGGCCCTTACATAGCTCCTTTGGAGAATGTGAACTAACCCCAAATCATTAAGGATTAATTTATGCCATTGGTATGGTTATGTATTCTGTCCTGAATGGTCAGCTTCTCCTGATTTTTCATCCAGACCAACAGCTAAAGAGTTGAGCTGTGTTTGATGTCCACAGAGGATAGCTCCACGCCGCATTCCTCTGGCCTCCGTCACTAAGTTTGACTTAGGTGCATGTGGTTGCTATAACTCCAATAAGTTGAGAGGTGATCACACTGACTGGAGGTCTTCTGCTGAACTTGCTGTCTGTGCTGCAGGCCTGTATTTCTAAGTGTATATTAGACCTCTTTGGCATCAGTTTAGTTAGATCATGTTGATGTAGTCTGGGAATTTAATATTTAAGTGAATGAGTTGGTTGACTTCAGAAGC